CTAACGTTATTACGTGATTAAGAGCTTAGATGTTGAAGAGGAAAAAAAACATATAACGACTGCCATTACTGCCCATAATCTCACAAAGTAAACACTCATATTCTAGTGGGCAAATGCACTGCAGTTAAAAAATTTTGCTACCGGGTATCAAATTCGCAAGAAGCAATTTAATTATGAAACTTCCTTCTTATCAAAAGTTTTTTTTTTATAACTTCTCCAGTTAATGAACGTCAGTAGCGTAAACAATGTTAAAATATATTACCAACAACACTCTTACACTGCTAATTAATTTTCTTAAAAAAAAAGAACTAAATCTGTCTTCGCCTAATATAAAACTATCCTACAATTATTATACAGTACTTAGACAAGGTTTGGTTAATTTTAGGTACTGTAGATTGTTTAAAAATAATAAATAAATGTTTAACAGCACTTTATTTTAATAGTAAATGAATAAAATAATTTTACCTAAATCTAATAAGAATCTATTCTAAAATTTTCAAGCTAGATTAAGTTAGATTCGTTTACATTAAAAGATTTTAATTAAAAAATAGACTAATGCTGTCGTTCGTAGCACAATATCTAACATTGTTCATTTATACCATTATATATAACAGCCATCGGCCAGTCAGTATAGAAGAGTCCGATGGCGGCTGAGAGTATTCCCGTTCTCATTAACTTTAATTTAAAAGGACCATCCTCACAACAAGATGGTGAAAAGATTCTTCAAGAACAATGAATGGGAGAGCATGGCGTCCATCGAGCAGACTCGCTACCACAACATCTACAAGAACTACGAGATGATGATTCAGTTAGGTAAATATTGATACAGTGAGTTGGATGTTGTCCGCCATTTTAATCTTCTTATGTTTAATTTAATGCGTTTCGTAAGGAAAATATTAAGACAATATTTACCTTTATTTTTGCATGTAATTTACTTATATTCTTTAATAGTTTTCTTTTGAAGATAACTTATTCCTTACTTTAGAAAACAACAGATTAGGAACAGTTTATACGATATCAAATTAATTAATCTAACCTGCCCAACCTACCTATCCTGACATACAAAATATATTACATGATATGAAATACTTAAAAGATCCTTAAAATAACTCAATATTTAGTTGTAGTCTAGGAGGTTAGGTGCGGTAGTAATTTTGCTAATCTACGTGTAATAATAGTACTAGATTTGTGGTACTAATAGCACTAGGTTACGTGACTAGTTTATTTGTGGTGGTATTAATACTACTAGACTAAGCATACAGTAGTAATAGAACTCGGTTGTGTTAGTCATTTGTCCTCTTCGCCACTAATCGGCTCTAGCCACTTGGGCGGTCGGTTGCGTTACTGTACGCACTGCCGATAAGTACAGTACTGTACTGCTGGACATGTACTGGCTCACGATGTATCTGTAGCCACCTGCGCCTGTGTTGGTCTTAAGTGAGCTCACATTTGGTGCCGTCACAACTCTCTCTGGCAGATTGTTCCAAGAGTTCACAACCCTCACTCCGCTAAAGCTTGCCCTGACAATTGTTTTTAACTTGTGGTTTCTTTGCCGTAACCTGTGATATTTTTAGTACGAAACTGTTAATCTTGTACTTCACAAAAGAAAAAAAGATTTGAGAATGAGTTTGCTATCTGGTAATTTCATCACTTTAGTTTGATAAATCGTGTGTATATATATATATATATATATATATATATATATATATATTGCCATGTAATTGGTTGATTTTTTTTAACTTTTACAAAATATGAGACTTGCTGATTAAACGCAACAACAAAAATTTATCGTAAACAAATTACCGAGGTAGGTTTTTTGGTGTTAATTATTATTAACTTGTATCTTCACATGCCAGGTATGGACGCCAAGCCTCCAGCCTTCGTCCTTCGGTACAGAGAAAGACAGCGACAGCTACTATCGGATGAGAAGAAACGTAAGAGGTAGGCTCTGTGTGTGTGAGTGTGTGTGTGTGTGTGCTGGTTGTGGGTGATTAGACTTTGTCCCTTGTTGTCATACATAGACAACATGAATATATTACAGTACTTTTATCCTGTTCGGCTCGTTAGCCGCTTGTTGGATGACATCTGATTGGCTAATTTCATTCTCGTGCGCCTTGTATTGTAGTGGATTTCTCCCCTACAAACGGTTTGTCGCTGAGTAGCCGACCCCGCGAATTCCACAGTGTGTGCCTCGTGGTCTAGGTCAACCAGCGCCGCCTTACATGACGGAGGTCAACTACTAAGCCACGCCTACCTCCGCTATTTAAGATCTGACCTCGTGGTGACCGCTCTCTCTCTTTCTACCTACACCAACCAGCAAGCAACACCTCCTCCTCCGCCGCTGCCTGGCGGCCCTCGCTCCCGCCGGCGAGCATGGCGACCCACAAGCTGTCCTCCTCTGAGCATCCTCACCAACCAGCTCTCTCTACATCACGCTTGTAACCATGCTGCCTTCCCAGCACCAAGCTGCATTGTACATCCAATATAACATGTATACAGAGAGCACATTGTGAGTTTCCTTTCTCCATCCCATCCTGAGTGTGAACCAAACAACCCATACCCCACAGTATCTCACTAATTAGCGAATCAGACGCCGTCGTTCCGCAACCTATTGTTGAGTATGCAGTTTAGGACAATTAACAGATTTCCAACGCCCACCCAGGGACGATTTAAAGGGGTTCTCAGGGTCCGGACCCCTTTTCATCAGAAAATTCCAATACTTTTTCTTTAATGTAGTATTGTACTCGGGCGTTTTTGTCTCGTAAAAAGTAATTACTATTGACCTCAGAATATCTCCTAATATCATGTGCACATGGCTTCAGAATGGCCTCAAAATTCCCATGAAATTGGACAGATTTTTCCCAAAAATAATGAGGTGCGATCGCTGTCCTCGCCATGTTCACCTACCCACAAAGTTCTTCTTGGAGCCCCCCCCTCCCTTTGATATTCCTGGATCCACCCATCATTGAATCAGTCAACCAAATCATGCAAAAAATATATATAGTAAAACTAATACAAAGGCCCTACATATCATATACTTTGTTAAAGTATTCATTTTCCTTCTTTGTTATTATAAGAGAACACCGGTGAAAACCTGTATGTTTGCTAGGGTCACACTGGATAACAAACACCTTTAATCATTCCAACTTGTGACCGCGGTGATGGGCACAAAAAAAATGAAGTCTTGGTAATCTGTAACAATATAGTATATACATTTGGATATCCATATTACACTACAGGTGAAGGTTATGTGTCTATTTTATTTATTTATTAAATTCGTGCACATATGAACGCCTTGTGTTATGATGCTATTTGGAGAGGTTGTCCAGAAATGCGAAATCAAGCTAAAACAACAGGAGACGCCACATATAAATTCAATATTCGTGTTTCTTGGATATATTTCTGACTTGTATAAATAATTTGAGGTTCCATATTAAAACTTTATATTTTCATCGTTGTATAAAGTTGAAATCATTAATCACTTTGTATATAAGCTCGTTAAAATTAGTTCTGTAAATAGCTCTTTATCTGTATAATTTCAAAACAGAAAGTTTTTATATGAAATTTAAGTTTATATACTTGGAAAATAAATATATCCTCTTAGCATGAATAATGATGATACTTGTGCCCTTTTCAGTTGATTTACTTTGTTTTTGCATTTTAGTAGGAAGTTAGAAACCCGCTTGGAGTATTACAGTACTACTGTAATGTTGTGGTGGTCGTGGGCTACGTTTCATGATAAGCCCTTAGCAAACTTATTTAACATGTCATTAAAAACGGGCGTAGTACCAGAATCCTGGAAGATAGAAACTGTGATACCGATTTCCAAGAAGAGAGATAGATTACTTTTCTCTGACTATTCCCGATCAGTTTTAACATCAAATGTAGGGGAAATCGCTGGAAGCAATTATTTTAAACTCAATTCGAAAATCGTCTCTAGAAACACAAGCTGAGCAATGATTCCCAGCATGACTTCACAAGTGGGCGTTCATGTATGATAAATCTATTATTCTCCAACTGTTTCCAAATCAGTGGATGACGGACATGATCATGATGTGGTTTACCTTGCAAAGCCTTCGACAGGATCCCACATGAATGATTAATAAGTAAAACTAAGGCTCGTGGAATTGGATGCAATATTTTAAATTGGATAAGAGCGTGGTTACAGATCAGGAAACAGAGTCAACATAAATGGTACTAAATCCGATTGGGGTAATGTCACAAGTGGAATGCCGCAAGGCTCAGTACTTGGACCATTACTATTTATCATATAAACGACATAGCCATGGGTGTAGACAGCAACATAAGTAAATTTGCTGATGACGCTAAAATAGGGCGTGTAATAAAATCTAACAAGGACTCTAAAATTACAAGATCTAAAAATATTTTTTGCGTGGTCTGAAAAATGGCAGATAAAATTTAATGTGGGAAAATATAAAGTACTGTATGTACTTGACCTAGGACATGTAAATACAGAAACCAGATATCAGATGAACAACATTGAGAGAAATTCAATTATGAGAAAAATTTAGGGGTAATGATTAGTAGGAAGCTTAACCATCAACAGCAATGTGTATATGCTCGAAACAACACTTAAAAAGTACTTGGGTTCATACAAAGGAGTGTTAGTTACAAGACTAGTGACATTATCTTAAAACAACATCTTGCACTTCTGAGACCCCACTTGGATTATGCGGTTCAGTTTCGGTCACCGTAGTACAGAATGGATATGAAATCCATAGAAAGCATTCAGAAGAGGATAAGACTAATCTCAAGCATTAGGAACCTTGAGCATAGAGACAGATCAAAGCATCTGAATTTGCACTCACTCCCTCGAGAAATGTGGAGTGAGGGGCGATATGATCGAGATGTATAAATGGAAGTCAGGGTTAAACAAAGGTGATATAATAAAGGTACTTAAACTATCCAACCAGGAGTGAACTTGTAGCAATGGTTTTAAATTAGACAAATTTAGATTTAAGCGTAAGATAGGTAAACACTTGTTTGGAAATAGAGCAGTGGATGAGTGGAGCAAGTTACTGAACATCATCATTAACTCGAATGTGCTGTTAAGCTTCAAATATAGGTTGGACGGATGTAAATGGGGCTGCCTATTATGGGTTAATAGGCCCGCTGCAGTGTACTCTGTTCTTAAGTTCTATGTCAATCTCGCAACTGAATTGATGACGTGTGTGAATTGTCCTGGTGCTGAGCTTAATTGAGTTTGTTGCCAAGCATGTATAGTAAATCTATAGAGTACTTATACCTGTAATCAATTTTATAATTAAACTCTCCATTGCAAGTATATATAATAATACCTTGAAGTTTACTAGATTCAAAAACTTAATTTAAGAAATATTTGGGCTTACAATTCTGATTCAGTAGTTCACCATGTAGTCGATTGATATTTCTTGTTAAATTTGTCATATAAGTTCACATTTGTTCAGCATACATACACACTGTAGGCATACAAACAATAACATTCAGGCCATTTGGTCAATGACTGTACAGTATATACAGTACAAAAGTGTTATTATAAGCTTACTTCCACTGCAGTCCTTTCCAACTAGTATAGTATAGTATATAATCTATGTGCCTTTACTAAACAAAAAGAAAAATGTGGAATATAAATCTATTAATCAGTCCCGTTTTATTAAGCTGTGGCTGTTTTCAAAATCTGCCACAAGTTTACTTTTACTTTTTTTACTTTTATCCTCTTCGCCACTGATCGGCTTGTTAGCCGCTTGGGCGATCGGTCACGTCTCTGATTACTTTTCCTTTTCATTTATCTTCTGACTCTGTAAACCTTACTTATTGTAGCCTGGTTTGAGAAAGTTTGTGTTTACATTATATTTTCTTTTTATTAAATTTAAACAACATATGTTACCTTGACAGGCCTAACCCAAATGCTATAGTAATTTTATATCAATACAATTCAAACTACAAGTGAATATTGCAACATATTTTACCATTACATTGAACCAAATGCTGAAGACTTTTCCTTCTCACTCTCTAAACTGTCTTTTTAATATTTTTTCTGTATTTTCCTGTATACAGGTCAGTCACAGTATGGCTAGAATCAAGAGCAAACACAGACTCACACATAATTCACTCTTTCATTCTCTAGTTAACTGCTGCAATGTGTTCCACTGTGGCATTTCCCTTTCTCAACAAGACCCTTGAATCTCTCTTTGGTTTATCCCTGTTGCTTCACACAAAACTTAGTTAAAACTGAAGAAAATAAGAAAAACTAAAGACACATCTAGTTGATGAAGGTGTTTGATGAAAAAGGTCAAAAATAAATAACCATGAGCATAATAATCTAGCCCCTGCACCTGCACATGGGGCTCTCTGAAAATCTGAATAGTAAAATACCCCATAAGAAAATAAGAAAAATCACTAATACTGTCATTATTATTATTTGCTGTGTTACTAACATATACAGGTAGTACTACAGTATGTCAATTGTCTGACAAGATTGAGAATGGAAATGAATTAGATTAGGAATTTTCTAAATTTTGGAAATCAGCCAAGGAAACCATTGTACCACTAACACTGGCAGATGTATGAGAATTGACAATTGACTGAAGTAACCAGTAATGCTAGAAATTTTGACCTTATATTTTTCCACTTTTCAATTCCTGTGTCAATCATTTTAACTGTATAACTTCAATATCTTATTACTTCTGTTCCATTTTCAAATTCATGCAAGAGTTTCTTTACAGTCTCACCTGCATCTGTTGCTGTGTTATATCTACGTTTTTTGTTTATTGTTTAGTTGATGCTGGAGATGGTAAGGCATCCATTGATAATTTTTTGGTTGCCATAATTACCATGGGTGCAATTATAGTCAGTACACAGTGGAACACTGCAGCAGAACACAAACCTCAAGTTGGTTTAAATACAATTGACAATTAGCACTAAATTATGATTTTTTTTGTCTGATTAAAATTCTGCGATTAGAGAGTCCAAAGGATGGAGACACGAGTAATTGATGCACTGTCTGTAATATAACCACCCATGTGAAAATTTTTGCATTTTGTGATGTACAGTACAGTATATTGAACTCCAACATAAGTTACAAGAATGTTTTTACTTTATTGTCACCCATGAATAATTTATGTTACTGATTATATATAATTTTTCAGGAGGTTGCTTGACAACGGTGTTAAGAGAGGAATCCCACACAATACTTCCGCTATACCAGAACGTTGCTCAGAACGCATCATGGACAAGAACCTTTATTGTTAGTCACCATCTGCTTGTGTAAATTCTGCTTCTCAATAACTTAAGACAGTCTTTTGCCCCTTGTGTGTGTGTGTATACCATAGGGGGAGACTATTGATAGCACCTACTCATTTATCCATAAGAACTACTGTAGATGATAAAGGTGGTATAAATTGTGTATAACAGAGGGAAAAGAAAAGTACCCCAGGAAAGGCAGAGAGCATGTTTAGTTTATCTATAAAAAAGGAAAGGCAATAAAGAATGGATGCAAAAAATTTAAAGTATAAATTTATTACCCATTAAGTATAAGTGGGAAGGTGTATGGTAGAGTAAACACTGAAAGATTTATGGTACAAGCAGAGGGTGAGGTAGTGAAGAGCTGTGTTGGAAAAAAAAATGTGGATTAATTTTTGTATGTATACAGTACTTAAGAGAATTAAGAGTGGAAAAAAAAATGTGAATGAAGACAAGATTTGTGACATTTATGGACTTCTAATATTAGTTTTTAGGGTCATTTTCATCCTGAACCTTTCACTCACTTTTATCTCATTTGTACAAAGTAATGCTTAGGTATTCCTTATGCAGGTCCTCTGAACACAACTTACATGTCAGTATTTTATCTTTTGATGCATTAAAACAACCTTTCATCTTCTCCACTGACATACTGTACCCCCATGAATACATTTGAACTCCCTTCCTTTTAAACCATGTATTCTTTACTACCAATCCACTTTCAGTACATATTTTGACCAGTCTCTATTCGGTATTTCCATTCTTTCCTCATGCTGTACGGTACAGGGGGTCCCTGACTTATGAACGGACGCCGATACTAAAGGGGTTTAAATTTGAAATTTGCAGATTTTATTCACCAGATGACTTATTTTTTACTATCATTTACTGTACAGTATTTTGTCATTCTATTTTTTCTTTTGTCTTAAGTGATTTTAGATGTATATAAGGACTTACTGAAGGCTATGACATGGTGGAATATTAAACATTGTTCTGTAAGTATGTATGCAAGTAGCCTATGTTCCGACTTATGTACAAATCCAACTTAAGAACGTCCTCAGGAATGGAACCCGTTCGTAACCCGGGGACGCCCTGTACTCCAAAACCTTCCTGAGCCTCACCTACTTGATTACCATTGTCTCTCTCACTCACGTAGAATCTTTTAGTGCAGTTATTTAGTTGTTTCACAATACCTAAGTATTGTACTCACAATACCCTATCTTTAGTACCATATTTTTAACCTGTCCCATTTTCTTCTGGTACATACTGCTGTATATTCCATCACTTAACCCCACATTTTGTCACTCAGCAGCAAGGCCTCATTTTTATTTTATTTCTACTTTCTCACACACTCTTCTTACTACTGTAGTTTCATGCTCACCTCTTCTATACCTTTGAATATCCAGATTTTTTTAAGTCAACATAAATCTAGCCATTTCTTCTTATATTAGCATAGACTGTACCTACACACACACACACACACACACATTTGACAACTCCACTGTACTCCAGTCTTCATAGCATCTTTGTCTTTTGGGCAACACAAATACTATGGGCAAAGGTTGCTAGTCTCATGCCTCTATGATAAAAGACTCCAAACATCCAGACACCTATGCCTCTGATATGTCTCAAAATTCTTTGACCCAATCTGTTTTTGATGCTGCTGAATACTTAGTTATTTCTGATGTATTTATTTTTTTTAAGTTAGTTAATAGGTTTTGTTTTTAAATGCCTGGGCTACTAGAGGCCGTAGTTTCCTGGTTGTGCGTATTATTGTAAAGTCAGACATTAGCTTTAAATATGTTCATAACTTTGCATTAAGGTGTCTAACTGTGGTTCTCTTATCATAGGCTTCACTTTCAGTCTTCATTTTTGTTTGTGCAGATCTCCAAGCTGCATCTTCCAGCCAGGACTACACCAGAGAGGCATCTACCAGTCCTGACCACATCAGAGAGGCATCTACAAGTCCTGACCATACCAGAGAGGCATCTACCAGCCTTGACCACACCAGAGAGGAGAAACCTTCACCTCAAATACTTGGTTAGTTTAGACCGAATTATATACAGTAGAGTTATGTTATGGTATGTCGATGGTCACCACTTAAGGACTATCTGTTTTGGATAAAAATTTTAATTCTTAGATCACATCTGCCCTGATATCTAAGGTGGACATCAGAGCATGCTGTAAGACCTGTAAATAGGAGGACATTATTCAGTTGAGTGTCCATATATGGAGCTGACAGATGCCCACCCGACAAGAGGTTATAGCTTAAGGTTGAAGAAGCCACAAATTCAAAAACTTGTCAGGGTAAATTTTTCAGAGTGAGGGTTGTGAACTCTTGGAATGATCTGCCAGAGAGCGTTATGACGGCACCGAGTGTGAGCTCATTCAAGACCAGACTTAACCAACACTGGCTCAGGTACATCCTGGAACCAGTACATGCCCTCTACTTGCTAACAGTGCATAACAGAGACGTAACTGACCACCCAAGCGGCTATTGAACCGATTAGTAGCAAAGAGGATAAAGTTTTAAAATTAAAGTTATCTCCAATAATATCAGTCTTTCTCCAGCTAGCTTACCTTGAGATTTATGCAAGAGCGGTGTAATTGCCACTGCCACCCATGATAAGCTCTGTGTATGTGTTACAAATTAAATTATTTTTGCCACTTTACCTGCCTTTCTGTCCGAATTTTAGTGTCTTGTCTCTGACATATTAATCAGTGAAGGAATTCAACAAAAACTTTACCCAATGGAATATCTTAAAAAGCAAGGTGTCAGGTAATAAATTTGAGACAAAACTCAAAATCACAGATAAGAATCAAAGATCAACTAGTCCATCTTTCAGGTAGTGTCTACATTGTTAATTATAGTATACCCGGTTAATGCGCGGATTTTTATTTTGTGGTCCTCTATTATTCGCAGATGACACCCTGGATGTACCCAAGAATGACTGTGGTTAGTTTTAAAGTTGCTGGCATTTTCGTGGCCTGGTCAGGGAGCCATTCGTTCTAGAGACTGTAGTTTCCTTTACCTGTACAGTATTGTATATACCGTATGTGTGTGTGTGTGTGTGTGTGTGTGTGTGTGTGTGTGTGTGCATGTGTGTGTGTGTGTGTGTGTGTGTGTGTGTGTGTGTGCGTGCTCACACACTAAACACATACAAATAAATAATAATGAGAAAATCCTCTCACAAATAATCAGAAACAAATGTAGTATTAAAAATGTTGAGTCTACCCTCAAGTCTACTTCGTGCTTAATGAAATCTTGTGTACTGTACAGTATATTCCTCAGTTATTAGTACACTGTACAGTGCAAGACCAGCAGGTTCTTTTCTGTATTATTAAAGTATTACTGTATCCTATTAAACAAAAAGTTTAAATTACTTTTAATGAAAATTTTATGCATACCATATGTACAGTACACTTGATGGTCCAACTATAACCCCATCCCGGACTACCCAGTCTGGGTCTGGTCCAGGGAAGCAGGATTGCCATGTGGCTGTTTTCACGGCCACATTACGCAAATTTTGCTGTGAAAAAAAAAATGTCTAGCTTTGAAAAAATGGATGGAAACTATTTGGCCAAAATTCGTAAAATACAGTACGAGTTAATTTCTCATCTAATACTTTTGAAGACGAGTCTAGGTTGCTGTGTGTTGACATGTGACTCATTAGTTCTCATATTTCACTTGTTCAGGCTGCACTTGTCCAGTTATACAGGTTAAGCTACAGACCTACCAAAGCCATCTGTACTTTCTGAAATTTTGGTTTCTGAGAGCTAGTTTTCAAAATCCCCACTAGTAAATTGAAAAGGAGCTACGACAGTGGTAGAAAATCTAACAAATCATGGGAAGAAAAATAAGTCTGGGTTGGTAGAGCCAGCGATGGAAGTGAAAATGCTTATTACATACTTTGTAGAACACAGATAGCTCCCAAAGCATCTAATTTTGGCAGATCACGAAAAATTGAAAGGGCACCCAAGCAGAGTAACTGCAACATCCATGTGTAGGGCGCTGCCTGTGATGACCCCTTCATGGAAACAGGACAATGAAAACAAAAAGAGAGTTGTGTTAGAGTTCACTGTCGCTATATCTTGCCACTGTTCAACAGCAAGTCTAGACCATCTTGGGAAATAATGAAAAAGAATGGTAAAGGAAGTGAAATAGAGAATCTGCAACTCCGTCACACAAAGTGCAGTAAGTTGCTCTCCAAAGTAATTGCTCCAGCATTGTTTGAGGAATTAAAAGAGGATGCAAAGGGCAAGAAGTACTCCATGCTTGTTGACAAAGCAACAGATGTGGCCACAGACGAGCATATTTGTGTTATTGTGAGGTTCTATAGTGATTCAAGATCGAGATTTGTCATCGATTTTGGTGGCCTTGTACTCATTGTTGGGGCTATGGGTCATGAAATGTTCTTGACGTTGAGCAACACCCTGGGGAAGATAGGATCTTATAGTCATGTAATTACTGGGCTCTCAATTGTAAGTGAAAATTTGTTTTATTAAAGGCATTTGGAGCAGATATTGTATTGGGGACTGTTTAATTTATATGCATTGTAAAAATAGCCTTACGCTTTCCCATCAAAAATATTTGGCAGAATATTGGCCAAAAATTAAAAACTGTGTGGCCAATTTGGCCATCAGATGGTGCAAGTGTTGGCTGTGAAACTTGTCGCATGTCTGGCTACCCTGCTGGGAAGTGCACACAGCTGTTTGGTGTCTTTCAAAAAAGCTTCCTTTCAGTTCGCATTAGTCAGTCCTTGTGAGTGCACAGCCTTGGTACATTCTCATGTACAGTCGGCCACAAAAATAAGTATACACCTACGGTTCGTGTTTGAGACAAAATATCTGGTAACACTGTCCTGAACAGAACAGTCAAAATTACAAAATGACCTGTAATTTATGTTTTATTCCAACATATTTGTTATAAATACATTTGTTGTGAATGTTTGACTAGTGTCTTGTGTTTATATTACAAGTAATATACAGTGACCGCTTAACTTAACACCCTCGGTTAACGTAATTTCGATTAACGAACTGCCTTCCATAAGGATCTTCAATTCGCTTAACGAAAAAAATTTCGCTTAACGAACTTCTTACGAACCGACCTCAACATGTTTTCGCTTGCACTGACCGGGCAACCAGCTTTAGTATCAGTCCGCCAATACATTAATCGGTTCTAGGGCTTAAATTCCTTACTATTTTTGTAAATATCAAGAAGTTTATACTATTCAATTATTTTAAAAGTTTAATATTCAATTTTTTAGTCATTTTAACAATTATTGAACAAAATTGAAGGTAAAGTGACTAGTTTAATGCGCGGCATCCAGCCTCTTAACACAGCAAACAGGCGTCAGTCTCTCTCTGTTTTCACTGGAGGTAACATCTTGCTTGAGACACTCTTCAACTAAACGCTTTTTTTCTGTGTTTCCAAGCAAATTATTGGTCATTTTGAAAATTATTTTACATATTGACAATATATAGTGCAGTGCAGTGTTATTTTAAAGAAAATATTCTTTATTTACAGCTAGTTTAACTTTGAAAAATACGTGTTGCCATTGTTTGAATCCAGCATGGGGCCTAAGAGATCAAGAAAAGTGATTTCAATCCAAATGAAGCAGGAAATAATAAAAAAACACGAACAAGGTATTAAATCAAATGCGCTATGCAAAGAATATGGCATGTCGGCATCAACTGTGTCGACAATTCTTGCACAAAAAGACAAATTTAAGGAAGTGAACGTGAGAGACAAATCTACAAGAGTGTTTAAAAGTAGATCCCTAATCGTAGAAACTGAGAGGTTACTTATCATCTGGATTAGGGAAAAACAGATGAAAGGTGATTCAGTTTCTGGTGATTTCATTTGTGAAAGAGCCAGGGAGATTTATGAACATTTAAAGACAGATCAACCTAGTTCTTCAGGAACAGAATTTGAAGATTTTCGGGCTAGCAAAGGCTGGTTCGAAAAATTTAAGAAAAGAAGTGACATTTTAAGTGTTGTTAGGCATGGTGAAGCTGCTAGTGCTGATAAAGAAGGGGCAGCAAAGTTTTTAATTGAATTTAAAAAACTGATGGAAGAAGAAAATTATCTTCCACAGCAAGTTTTCAATGTTGACGAAACTGGGCTGTTCTGGAAAAAGATGCCCAAAAGAACATTCATCACCAAGGATGAAGCCTCTTTACCTGGGCATAAACCCATGAAAGACCGTCTCACTCTATTGCTTGGTGCCAATGCTTCAGGGGATTTCCGACTGAAGCCTATGCTTGTCTACCACTCTGAAAACCCCAGGGTGTTCAAGCAACAGAAAGTGGTAAGAACAATGCTTGGAGTTTATTGGAAGTCCAACCGTAAGGCATGGGTGACAAGACAGTTCTTTAATGAATGGGCTATTGATGTGTTTTGCCCCTCTGTCAAGAGCTACCTAACCACCAATAAACTTCCTGTAAAGGCTCTTCTCCTCATGGATAATGCTCCTGGTCATGACCCTGACCTTGCCAGAAATTTGGAGTATAAATTTGACTTTGTGAAAGTGTTGTTTTTGCCTCCAAACACTACATCACTCATACAGCCAATGGACCAGAATGTGATCAGCAACTTCAAGAAGTTGTACATGAAGAAAATGTTTAGGAGGTGTCATCAGGCAACTTCCATTGATCCTGAACTAACACTGAAACAGTTCTGGAAGACACAATTCAACGTCCTGGAGGCTGTAAAATTGATTGTGTCATCATGGCAAGAAGTCTCCAATAGAACCCTCAATTCTTCATGGAAAGCACTGTGGCCATCAGTAGTCCATGATTTTGAGGGATTTGAGGATGACACAGAGTTGGACCAGGAGATTGTGTCCATTGGTCAGTCATTGGGTCTTGAAGTGGAGGAGAAGGATGTGGAAGAGCTTGTGATGTCTCATGAGGAGGAACTTACTCCTAATGACTTGAAGGAACTGGATGAGATGTTACGGGTAGAGGCTGACAGTGGTGAGGAGGAAATTGAAAGTGATGACCATATGTCAGCTACACAGTTGAAAGATGTGATTTACCACTGGGAGAAGTTCAGGGAACTGGCTTCAAAGCACCCAGAAGTGGAAAAAACTGAACTAGCTTTGTGTCATGTTGAGGACTCAGTGGTCTCCTTCTTTAAACATAAGTTAATGGTGAGGAGGACAGATGCCCCACAGACCACAATTGACACTTTCTTCAGTAAAAGGCAGAGGGAACAAGATGCTAGCCCTCAGCCTTCCACTTCAAGAAGGAGAGAGGATGTTCATGGTGGAGAATCTGTCAGTCCAGAGGTTCCTGACATTTTCATGGAAGGTGACTCACCTTCCAAGAAGCAGTAAAATGCTTCTCCTCCACCTCCACTTCCTTCTCTTCTCCCTTCTCCTCCTGCACCTCCCACTTCAAATGCACATCATCACCATCATCCAGGAGCCTTCTACATACACACCTCAAAGTAAGTAAATTTTTCCGCCATTTTTGTTGAAGTTAGGAAATTTTCGGTGAGCTGGAACCAATTACCCAAAAACCCATTGAAACAATGGTTTCGGTTAACGAACGTTTCGGTTAACGAACGACCTTCTGGAACGGATTGAGTTCGTTAACCGAGGGGCCACTGTATTGTATCCAATGGTAGTAAACTTGTTGCCGAATGGGATTACAGTTATCTACAGCTCCCCCCCTCCTCCCCCACTTTTTCTCTTACCCTACTTTTTTCACCGATGTTTGGATTAGTAAAGGAAGGAAGAGGAGTAAATAAAAGATTAAAGAAAGGGAAACAAAAAATAGTTAGAGATAACAGGTGGGGGAGCTGAGTTTCATCATGCGTCTGGAGGCGCAGTTTCAACGTTACCAGACCATTTTCGGACCTTACAGCTACAGTGTGTATACTTATTTCTGTGGCCAACTGTTCAATATGCTTTTGTCTTATGTTTTCAATATTACTTTGAAAGACTGAAAAAACTCCTGACTGAGATTGTACTGTAAGTGACCTCATTATCAATTTAATTTTAAACATAGAGAGGGTTAGGTTATTATCTGGTGTAGGGAAAATGTTTTTGGGAAGGTGAGTTTTGTATTAAGCATATATGTAGAGTACAGGGTATTCAGTTTTTAAAGGGGTCCCATAAAGACTGATTTGCCCTAAACCCTGCACCCTGTAGATGTCAATTGTGCACCAAAATCAACATGTTATTAGCACTTGAAGGTATCACTCTTGGTAAATGATATACATTTGTGAAAAGCCTATTATGTTGAAAAATCCCTGCATGTAACAGTGGGCAATTGTGTTAATTTTTCTAAGACTTGTAAGTCTTTTTTTGGCTATGATGCTGGAAGGATTAGCAGTTAGTAATTATTCCACGCCCTCTCAGCAGGTTGCTAACTCGCCTAACTCCATTCCATATTCGACAAAAGCACCTAACAATATAGTAGAGTGCGCCCTGATAATTCGCAGATTTTTATTTCGCGGTCTTCTATTATTTGTGGATGACACTCCACATGTACCCAAGAATGTCTGGGGGTAGTTTTAAAGTTGTCGGCATTTTCGCGGCCGGGACAGGGAACCATTCATTCTAGAGACAGTAATTTCCTTTACCTGTATTGTATATATGTGTGTGTATGTGTGTAGACACACATGCACAAAAAACATACAAATAAATGATAATGGGAAAATCCTCTCACAAATAATCAGAAACAAATGTAGTACAGCTCCCCCCCGACTTACGACGGGGTTAGGGACCCAAATCCAGGTCATAAGTCAAAATGGTCGTAAGTCGAAAATGCTTAAAGAATACAGTACATAGAAAATCTAAAATGGGTGTCTCTTTTTCTTCTCAGCACCACAAAACTCTCACTTTTAAGCTTGCCAGCCATTTTAAAGTGAATTACAAACGAAAATTTTGTCAGTACACAGCTCAATCACTGACTTGGGACTCGAAAATATGGTTATTTGACAAAATTTTGGTACGACTGAGGCAGGTCGTAAGTCGAGTAGGTTGTAAGCTGTATTAAAAATATTGAGAGTACCCTCAAGTAAAATGGAAAATAATACTCAATTTAAGATATTTTTATCGTTGCTCTGAAATATAATTTTGCTCAGGTACTCTTCAGTAATGTTTGATTCAATCTTGTGTTGTAGTACTGCAGATAAGACACTGAGTAAGTTTCAGCAATGACATTCATATCTGCTGACTCTACTGCTTCTCATCACACACACTGTACAGTTGTTACTGGTTGAGCTGTGTTTACAGTACTGTATATACTTTAAGATTTTTAGATTAAGCTTGATTTTGTATAATTATTCTTTACTCTTATTATTGTAGCTAAAAACCTTGCAGTGACTCTGATTAGTACAAAGAGAGAAGTTTGTGGACTATGTGCATGTGAATGAATGGCAGAAAAATGTGTGTACAGTTAACCCTCACTTTACGCGGTTAATGTAACCCGGAGGGTCCCGCGTAAAGTGAGAAATGCGTAAAGTGAATAACATAACATATGGGATTAATTGAAATGGAGTCCGGGACGATCCCCAAACTCCACGTTTTGACGACACACAACTATGTTGTAGTAAAAATATTATCTTAACTTTATGATGGTATGCACACACAATTAATAATTAAGAGAAATATCAATAATATTAGGTTTTTTAACACTTACATTAGTAGAAAAAATGGCTGGGCACACGGGGATGGGCAGTTGGTTCCGAGGCAGAGGGCAGATTATTGGCCCTCACCTGTGTCACTTGTATCAATTGTATCACTATCCACCACAGAGGCTTGCAGGGCCTCTTTGTCAAACTCCCCAAAGTCCATATAAGTCCATATCCTCACCATAATTATCACTATCACTGACTTGGGCAGGCTGTGGTGGGTGGCGGGTGAAGAACTGGTAATGTTTTGATGACTGGGCGACCTTGTGCGCACCATGTTCGCGCCGCTTACACAACATGGCGTATGGCGGGAGGTTTGGATCCAAAAATGGCGCGGCTCGCCAGCCGCTCTCTCCTCGTAAAGGGGTACACGCACCGCGGAATGTGAGCATCCTGGGTTCCGGCAGGGCACCGCGTAAACGTGGAAACGCGGAATGTGGGACCGCGTAAAGTGAGGGTTAACTGTATTTGTGCATGTGTTTCTGGACACTTGCATAAGGTAAGAAAAGGTTTGGCAGAGAAAAAAAAACCCTAATCCAGATTAACCTTTTTTGTTCCTTTAACAGATGGTGTGGAACCAAGAGAGGAAGGAGTTACAGTTACAAGCTTCTTAAGCCCTAGGGAGAGGACTTTTAAAGAGTTGTATGGCTGTGAGACAGAGAATCAAGAAGGGATGGTTGAAGGATCATCTTTTGAGTGTGATGTGGATATCAATGACTTTGATGTTAGGTACACTGAGGATGAAATGGACACTGAAGAAAATTGTGCAAAGAGGAAATTATTTTTTAAAGATGTTAAAACAGAGAAGAGTCAAAGTGAACTGAATTCATTAGTAAAGTTCACTAAATCATCATTCCAAGATTTTGCTGACAGGGGCACAGTTTTTCAGGATTATGAAATGGCAGGAAATCAAATGATGCTGGATTTTGCAGAAAATTCCACTAAAATTATGTCTAAGTGTTTAGCTATAAGTGAGTTGAGTTTCAATGATTCTGAAAATGGGAACAGTCAAAATGGCCTAAACTCCATAGAAATGTCCAACAAAGCAACTTTCAAGTGTTATGAATGTGGACATCAATTTCTTCAGAAGTCTAAGATAGTGTCACATCTCAAGACTCATACTCAAGAAGAGCACTTTGAATGTGATGAGTGTGGTCAAATTTTTTTGGAGTCTAGGCTTTTAAAGGAACACCTATTGTGTGTGTCTGCTGAATCTACTGAAGGCAGATTCAAGTGTTCTTATTGCAATCACACTTTTTTACAGGACAGCAATCGGAAAAATCATGAGCGTGTTCACGGTCAGAGTCAGACCAAGTTGGTACCATGTTGTTTGTGTTCATTACACTTTTCAGATATTAAGTGTGTGCAAAGACATGCCAGAAAGGTTCACTCACAAGTAAAAGAATTTAAATGTCTTGCATGTGGAGTGAAATATTCCAGTTTCAGCCACCTGCAAAGACATTTAAAGCAAGTCTCCATGGATTACCCATATAAGTGCTTAATATGTGGTCATAAATATGCCTCCGTTTTAAGCCTGAAGAGGCATCACTCTCAGCATTGCAAACCTAAGTCATTTACCTGTTTATATTGTTTATCAACATTCAGCACTAAAACACATCTTCAAGGACATTTGTCTCTTCAAGGAAAATTAAATCAGTATCAATGTCCTGGCTGTAGAATAGAATTTTTTAACTTTAAAGATCTCAAAAGACATGAGAAATTTTACAATAGAGATAGACCATTTAAGTGTTCAGAGTGTGGACACACATTTAGTACTCAAGGTCACCTGGATGGCCATCAGAGGATACACACAGGAGAGGGCTGGAAGTGTAGGTTATGTGGTGAAACTTTCAAGAAGGAAAGTTACCTAAAAACTCACATCCAGATTCATTCAGAAGCATCATACACTTTCATAGAAACTCCAAATTGTGCCCAGTATCATGAACAAGGCTTTTATCCTCTCAGCATCATGCAGGAGTTGAGGAGTATCAGATTTATAAACTCCCAGAACATGTACTTCCATTGTCAAACTCATACACTTGAGCACAACCAGAAAGAGCCAGAAGATAATGTGATGGTTGGCAGAAACCCATCTTCTTGTCTTGAGTATAATGGTATGACATGCAACCAAACCTCTCAACTAATGCAAGTGTCACGTCAACCCATACGGGATATGACTTCTTGTCACCATCCACATCAAGAATGTCATGATACTGAGTCAGAGCCCACTGACCATATTGATGTTGGAAGGTTAGATGATACTCAAGCTGGAGACGTTTTCATGCAAAGTAATCATTGTGAAATGGAGGAAAGGACCCAGACAGTTGGGTCCCCAGAAGAGAATGGCTGCTGTATTGAACAGAAAAAAGTTAAACCTGCTGAATCTGTATGTGACAACTCCCCCTATGTAATCTTTAAGCCATTCCCCATGCAAAAGATGATGACTAACTTTGGTTCACAAGAGTATGACCACCAGAGTCAAGTGTCCAGTAATCTTAGACAATATCACAAAATTGAGTGCAAAGAATGTAATTCCCAAATTTCTGGTGCATCTAATTTCAGAGGACACATGTTACTTCACACTGGTGACAGACCATTTGAATGTAAACTGTGCAAGGCTAAATTTGTCCGCAAAGACAACCTTGGCAGACACATGATACGAACACACAGCACACGACAAAAGACACATATGTCAGATGATAATTAACTCTGCAGGAAAATAAAAGTGTCAGTTACTTACTGCTTCAGTGTACTGCATTTGAATTATGCATTTCTTCTGGACAACATACAGTATATGCACCAGTCATTATAATGTCTAATGAATTAGCCATGTTATTAGCTATTATGTGCCAAGTTTTACATGCTAAACTACTCTATATAGTTTTTGTATTTGCAGTACTGTATTTATATTTTAAGTACAGTACTGTACTGTATAATAATTCTATTACATAAAGATAAACCATCTTAGTTTATATCTGGAATGTTATGATTTGGGCCAGGACAATTTACAAAATACTAGAAGTGCTTTTGTAATTACTGTTTGTCATGTACCATATGCATTTCATGGGAGAGCATGGTTTTGAGGGATTATTGGGGATGTTATGACATGAAGAGAGATGGGAGAGTATTTGTTTGCTCTTGGTTCTGGCCACCTAGTGCAATACAAAAGATGGAGAAAAACAACTGTATATCTGGCTACTTTTACACTGACTATTTTAAAAGGCTAACTCCCATATTTGGAAGTGAATCTTCATTCTCTCAATAAAACAGAAACCCCCAATTCGAATATGTTCTGTCTCATTAGGATTTTCAAATAAGAAATCTAGATACAAACAAAGGGGTACATTTCATCAAGCTTTGGAGTACTATATGAAAAAACTTGTTCAGTAAATAGCCTGTACAGAGTACAAGTACTTCATTTTAAAGAAAATTGTTGTGTAATAAGTAGGAGTTGGAAGACAAAAATCTGTTTTACCAGGATTGTCATCACTGGGGAGGGTTGTGCTGCCAAGTGATGATGTTGGGTCACCAAAAGCAACAGGGATAAGCCAGGGTGACATTTAGGGCCTTGTTGTGGAAGGGTATTACCATAAACTAGTAAATCACATCTCTTACAGCAGTGATAGATGGCCAAGTTGTATCTTTATATATATTACGCCCACCCTGTATTATGGCTGAAGAAGTCTTACAGGTTTATTTGGTAGGAAAGGAAACATGTCAGAGAGCCAATTACTGTATATACTGTAATCCTGACATTCTGTCGGGAAGGACTTTATCAAAGGCATGAACTCGAGTACATCACATGCTTATAAAGAAAAATAGGTGGTGTATTCCTGTTTTCATGCCTTTTATAAAGTCTTTCGTGAAGAAATATCAGCAGTATACGTATTTGTCTCTCTGACCCTGTGTTTGCTTTGTTACCATATAACTATTTAAGTCTTTTAGTATTAAATATATAATCTCTATTGCCACTGTTTGGAAAGTAATGTGGGGTTTCATATCGTCTGATTTTATTGTTCACTTCTGTTGTATCTATACATTATTTTGCCTTCTTAGATGAGAGAGGGGGGATATGGTGCAACCCATCCCTGGTCTGAAGGGATTATTGGAAACCTTTATACGTACCTGTACTGTACTGTAATGTATTTAAACTAACCAAAGAAATTAAGATATAATTTATATTAGTTGTTGGTTTGCTAAAGCACTTGATGTCATTTTGACCAATATTTGATGGCTCAAAAACTCCAGCTGGACTGATAACAAGTTGAGCCATCATGAGTGTTACTGGTAGAGCCACATTAACTGTTGTTTCTTTAACATACATGAACCATAACCTAGTGTTGTTATACTTCTTAATACTTTTATCCCTAAATGCATTAAATATATACCCTTGATACTTTTACCCCAAAATATACAAATTATTTTATGTTCTTGATATGTTTATTCCAGAATATTGTAATGTAGAGTCCATGAATTATTGTCTATTCTTGATACAGTACTGTACATTTACCAGTATCCCAACAAACATAAAATATTTATTGTCCTTGGTAAGTTTATTCCAAAATATATGAAATGCAGCTGTGTTGAACTTTCTTGATAATTTATCTCGAAAACACAAAAGATTTTTCACCCTTGATAGTTTTAATCCAAAATGCATGCAGTATATTTCCTCTTCAACTTTTAATTTTTAAATTGACGATGAATATAAAATTGTTTATGATCGCAATGAAATCTTTGTGTTTTGTTTAGCCGGAAAACCAAAGTAGATTGATTATGAGAAAAATCTAAACATAAGTGATAATTGCAATAAATGAGTTGATTGATTGCGATTGCTAACTACCAAGTCATGCTGCGACACTGGCGAGTTCACTGCCTGCAATTTTTTTCTTTCAGGTTTAATGTAATCCATATGGTGGTACAACTCACTTAGCAACCAGTCAACTTTTATATTGAAATTGTTGCTACAGATGCCATACCTAGGAAATAGGTAAAGTGGTTATTAGCTGCTAAAGTAGATCTTTGTAAAAAAAATATATATTAATAATAATTCTTTCAGTAAGTGAGATGTTCATTCATTCACTCAGGATTGGTATTGAGAGGCTGGTTCACTCAACATAAATATCCATGCAATGAGCCAGAATTGTGATATAATATTAGTGACACAACCAAGGTGTACAGTACAGGGGGTCCCCGGGCTCCGTTGCTGAGGACTTTCTAAAGTCTGATTTGTATGTAAGTGGGAACACATGCTATGTACATACTGTACTTACAAAATAATGCTTAAAATCCCACTATATCATAGCATATTCCATACATACATCTAAAATCACTTAATTTAAGACAAAAAATTAAATAAAATGACAAAATACAGTAAATAAAAGTAAAATAAGCCATCTGGTAAAGAAAATACTGTAAATTTCAAGTTTAACACCGTTCGTATCGGCAGGAGCTCGTAAGTCGGGGACCTCCTGTACTTATTATTAGTTTATTTTAGTATCCTCAGCTATTAGACAAGGAAACTACCTGTACTGGTTTTTGTTGTTAAATTTATGGATCTGTGAAGACTTTTGGGGTATGAACCAAAATATTTATTAAAACTGTATGTGCAATGCTATCGTATTTTCCACATGTGTAGTTTTCATATGGATGGTGAATTTTATAAAGATATTTTCAGTCAATATTGCCCAACAGTCAATACTGAACAAAGTTTTCTCTTACTGTAAGCTAACACTTTGCATTTCTCTTTCTTCACTGTTTTACGATCATTTTCCAAACTCGCTTTAAAACTGTTTAGAGTATAGTACTTCAGAGGATTATTTTTTTATATAAATGGTTATAAAAAATATACTTTTTTAGTGTGCAAGAATAAATTACTTTAGTGATCACTTATTTTTTAACCCCATTAACAAGTCCTACTGTGCAAACTACCCCCCCCCCTCCCCCTAGAGCTTTAACACAATGGATAATAAAAGACCAAAGGACTACCACAACTCCTAAAACTCCCAAAGCAGAAATGTTATAGAAAATTCACATGATCCATTTAACTTCACCTTTTGAACCAAGTGGCTTCATATTATATTAAAATATTCCAGACGAATTGGTGTTACAAACAGATGTACCTTGTACTATACAACTTTTGATAACATATTTATCTGTACCAGTAGATTGCAGGATGAGGAAACTGCATTAATTGAGACCAAATGTGAAAAATGACCTGGGTGTGTATGTCAACAATGAACTTAAGTTCTCGGGTCATTGTAAGATAAGGTGAATCAGGCATCGAAATAAGTAGATCTTATAAGGTCATTTAGATATCTGGATGGTCTGTTGCTTGTCCCGATCTTCAAGAGTGAGGTACTTCCCCGTCTGGTCCCCGAGGTATACAAGAGACTGTCAATTGATTGAAAATGTCCAAAGGAAGGTCACCAGACTGGTGCCTGCTCTACAGAACCTAGTTACCCAGAGAAATTAGAATGCCTGCAACTACCTAGCTTATTTTACAAACGGGTGCGGGGCGACCTAATCGAAGTGTATAAACATCTCGGGGGGCACTACTCGGTTGAATGTACATACCTGGAGCTGGCAGATGTCCACCCCACAAGGGGTCACAGCTCAAGGTTGAAGAAGCCATCAGTTCAGAAAACAGTGAGGGCAAACTTTTCGGAGTGAGAGTTGTGAACTCTTGGAACAACCTGCCAGAGAGTGTTGTGATGGCACTGAGTGTGAGCTGTTTCAAGACCAGACTTGATCAACACTGGAGCAGGTTCAGATACATTCAGGAGCCAGTGCATGCCCAGTACTTGTCAACAGTGCATAACAGAGATGTGACTGACCGCCCAAGCGGTTAACAAGCTGATCACTGGTGAAGTGGATAAAAGTAAAAAGTAAAGAAAGTGATTTACAGACAATAATGCCAATTGTTACAGTATATCCCCCTGATTTTGGGGAAGGGTGGAGTTAAAAAGAAAAGGGTAAGTATAAGTGAAGATTTAATGTAGGAGCAAATCTCAATTCAACAGCAGGAGGTAGAATGCTTATAGACCACCTCGGACATGAAGTTGAATACCCACTGCCCTAAACTTCAAATAACCAATTCTCAATTGACCTTGAATTTCAGAGGCAAGAGATGACACATTATAGAGGAGATTATTACAAGAAACCCCAGTACATATGCATACAACACAAGTACCCGTACTGTAATTCCTAACACATTAACAGTCAACACTTTCCATCACCCATCACCACATAATTCTAACACTTTACATGACTCGACACTTAACACCAGCACTTCACAATAACACATAACACCAGCACTTCAAAACACCACATAACACCAGCACTTCACAATAACACATAACACCAGCACTTCATAATAACACTTAACACCAGCACTTCATAACACCACACAACACCAGCACTTCAAAACACCACATAACACCAGCACTTCACAATAACACATAACACCAGCACTTCATAATAACACTTAACACCAGCACTTCATAACACCACATAACACCAGCACTTCATAATAACACATAACACCAGCACTTCACAACCCCACATAACACTACTGGGGTTATGTAGTGTTGGCGTTATGTACTGTAGTGTTGGTGATGTGAAGTCTTGGTGTTGTGTTATGTGGTGTTGTGAAGTATTGGCATTATGTGGTGTTGTGAAGTATTGATATTATGTGGTGTTGCGAAGTGTTGGGTGTTATGTGGTGTTGTAAAATGTTCTTACACTTCACAACACCAACACTAAACAGCACTACATAACAGCAGCACTTCACAACACCATATAATGCCAACACTTCTTTTATGACTAATAACTCCAGAGAAGAAACAATAGGGTGGAGGATCTCGTAAGACAAGATCTTGAAATGAATGGAAAACCTAAACCCAGGACATTTGTTTCGGGTTGTTGTACACCAGTAACACAAGAGTACAACTTCAAGCTTGCTAAAGTGTCATGTAGGACAGATACAAGGATATACGTCTTCACACACACGGTGATAAACCTATGGAGCAGTCTACGAGCTTAAGGTTTGAAGGTGTGGAAGCTTCAAAGTAGCCGTTGACAAATCTATCATTGACAATAGAGGGATCCTCCACAGGCCACTAGTCTCCTTCACTCGTCACGGTCACATGTAGTTTGGGTGGCAATTAGGTAAATCAGGTAGGCAGGTAAATATCTCACTGACATTGTGAGACCTTGACAGTACAGTACAATACAGTATTATGAAGACTTATCATCTATATAATCTAGGAAAGCTATAACTTCTTCAGTAGAACCGACTCCTCTTAAGAAAGGCACAGTTTTCTGAGGTGAAATAATCTTTTAACCTAAGGATAAGATGCATGTCAGGTCAGAAGTGGGTTGACTAAACGTAACCGAGAATATCCCTCACTCCTCAAAACAATAGTTACATGTTAACAAGGAAAATACAAGGATTGCGTAGGTCAAGAGTTGGTGTATAAATACAAACTTTTGAATACAGAAATGCAGTCAAGTTATTGTACTCCGCCTATTTCAGTACCGACCAGTGCTATACAAACTGAAGGTCATATGACGATTAGACCCCCAGCTTATTTCACCTTATGATTAAACACCTTAACGGTACTTAGGGTGTTAGGTTAGGTAAAGAAGACAAGAGCAATTGAGACAACACCTGTAGTTCTTAATTTTCTCTTCCCTGGCATCTGTAATCTAAGATCTATATAGGATCCAAGACCTCGCTGTAATCCTTAATAACGAGAAAGTTATTATAATTGTTCCTACTTGTTGCCTTCATTAACTCGTATCATCGACATTCCTCTATGACTAACCTTATAATGGTAATAGCCCTGGCGTTTTCTAGGACGGACTTTCTCACATTAGTTTTTATTTATGAGGAAGTCTAAGTTAGTACCTGATAGCGGGTTTCCCACTCCTCAGTCTACCACAGCACTTGTAAACTCACCCGGTGCCAACCTTCAACTCATAAAGAACCAGGTATTTGGGACACGTATAAAATTCCAATGTGGTGGTGCCTTGACTCATATAAATGAACATAGATGCGTATTATTGTATGGCGTACTATATAATCAACCTTTTAAATTTACGCCTAGCAATAAGCCGCCTTCAATTCCTCGTCTACTACTTTATACTAGGATCCCCAGATATCTCTCATGTACAGTAGCTTCATGTTTTAGTTACTTAAATCAACTTTTTTATCATCTATTTCGTTTAGTGATTCCTTTCTTTATTTCAGGGACTTACTAGAGCACACGAAGGCTTGTTTGTCGGGATCACAGGAAAGATTTGTCCCTCACCCCCCTCCCAAGCTTATTTTCACCTGATCATTAAACACCTAGTGGGTTAAGGTAGGTTAGGTTAGGTTTGATCATGCTATATTAGTTTAGGTTGGTTATGTTAGGTTAGGTCTGGTTATTGTAGGTTAAGTTAGATTTGTTTGTTAGGTTAGGTTGGATTAGGTTAAGATTAAGGTGTTTAATATTCGAGTGATCTCTCCCTTGTACCGCTATGTAACCCAGCAACATCTCCCGGACATAACAGCACCGGCACCACCCCCCCCCCCACTTCCCCCTCTCTGCTTCAGGTCTTACCCACTTATAAATGACTCTTAACACATTCTCCACTCTTTATCTAACCCAACTCTGTATCTGACCTCACATCCCTACTATATATAATAAGTAAGCTTTGGAGGTCAGAAGTGTTTAGTGAGGTTTGGAGGACGGATATGTTTAGTGAGGTTTGGAGGCCGGGTGTGTTTAGTGAGGTTTGGAGGCCAGGTGTGTTTAGTGAGGTTTGGAGGCCAGGTGTGTTTAGTGAGGTTTGGAGGCCAGGTGTGTTTAGTGAGGTTTGGAGGCCAGGTGTGTTTAGTGAGGTTTGGAGGCCAGGTGTGTTTAGTGAGGTTTGGAGGCCAGGTGTGTTTAGTGAGGTTTGGAGGCCAGGTGTGTTTAGTGAAGTTTGGAGGCCAGGTGTGTTTAGTGAGGTTTGGAGGCCAGGTGTGTTTAGTGAGGTTTGGAGGCCAGGTATGTTTAGTGAGGTTTGGAGGCCAGGTATGTTTAGTGAGGTTTGGAGGCCAGGAGTGTAGAAGACAGTGTCCAGGTGTGCTAAGATCTGGAGGCCAGTGGTGTGGAGGCAGCGTTACCTTCTGGGGATCTCCAGATGTTGCAACTTGTCGTCTACACTCTACATCAACCCACTACGACCCCAACTGCCTGTGACTCACTCCTTTAATATTTCCTTAAACATAGATTACACAACGACCATCGAATCGCACACTGACACAAGGGTCATCGAATAGTTAAACTGTTGAACATAGATGTCTAAATGTCCACAGAGTTGCCCTGAGACTGTAGTAGGAAAGTATATGATAGCTCAATTGTTAATGGGACGGAGAAGGAACGTACGAAACTCTAGACTCTAGCTGTGAAGCCGCTGGTGATGGAATTACCATCGTTTAGTTGCGCTTCCCAGAATGTCTTCCGCCATATGCCCTTCCGAGCGATGTTATTGTACTTTCATGCTACTTTCGACAATTACTATTTAAAAACATCTGTTTCTTTTATTGTATGTTTACACTATCAAAATTCATCAACTGAGGAATCTTAACTCACTTAAAAACCTGCATAATACGAATAAAAACTGCTCTACGTACTCGCACGAAACTGAACAAAGTCAAAGCAACTGCACACTCACCTGGTGAAGTTCCCAGGAAATTTCCTTTCAATTATTTTCCTTCTTTGGTAAATCTGAAACAGGAAAATAAAGAACAACATATAATTGTATTGTTAAAATTTGACAAAAAACATTCAATAAAGGAATTAGTAATACAGTAGTCGGATGTGAGTAGCAGGTAAGTGATGCCTGTAAATCTCGCGGTATCTGGAAACTGACAGTCAGCCCTCCCGTTTTGTATATAATCAACGTACGAGCCGCCCAAGGTCATTAGTGCTTCAGTAAACGACAGGTAATGTTGTCACCTCACCTGTGGCTTGGTGGGCTTGTATGGGCAGTGTAGGGAAGGGGTATTTTAAAGTGGTGATGGGGTAAGTACTAAGTGGTTACTGTGTTTGGGGATAGTGGCGTTGATGCTTTAAAATGGTGAGGAGGCAAAAATGGCTGTGGTGTTTGGAGAAGTAACGTTGTTGTTTTAAGTGTTCAGGTGTTTTAAACATACTCCTATAGGCACAGAGGTTTGGTGTTGTGTCTATAACTCCTGTCAAAACGCCAAAACTCCGCCCACAATATTATATGACCATTAACAACACAGTAAGGTGGCTTATGAGGTTTGGAATAGAGGTTGTGATTGGATGGTGAAGTAACTGCGAATTACGAGTGATTTTTCCATGAAGAACCGAGATTAATTGAAAAGTGTGTGTGTGTGTGTTTAGATATAAGTGAAAAGCTGTGTGGTTAGCCGTGATATTAGTCGACAAGGGCGGCCACTTTCACAAGTCTTAATCCTATTGTAATAAATGTGTGTGTATGAGCGAGTTTATCATTCTACGGTAATAAGTGTACAGGGATAATGGTATATGATATAATAATGTTAATAATATAGGAATTATATACCTTTTCTCCCTTCACATACTTCCCTTGACCTATATAAGAATAACAAACGGATATATCCTCCCACGACTGTTGGACAAGTTGGAAATGTTAGGTTAGGATTAGATTGGGTTAAGTTAGGTTAGGTTAGGATGTGTTGGAATTAGATTGGGTTGTTAGGCTAAGCAGGGAATTGATAACTTATGCCCGTCATAAGTTAAGAAAAAACAAAACGCATATATGCCCACGTTACATGTTGGTGGTGTTGAAGGCAAGTGGTGGTGGTGGTGGTGTTGAAGGCAAGTGGTGGTGGTGGTGGTGGTGTTGAAGGCAAGTGGTGGTGGTGGTGTTGAAGGGAAGTGGTGGTGGTGGTGATGTTGAAGGGAAGTGGTGGTGGTGATGATGTTGAAGTGGTGGTGGTGGTGATGATGTTGAAGTGGTGGTGGTGGTGATGATGTTGAAGTGGTGGTGGTGGTGATGATGTTGAAGTGGTGGTGGTGGTGGTAATGTTAATGTTGAAGGGAAGTGGTGGTGGTGATGATGTTGAAGTGGTAGTGGTGGTAATGTTGAAGGGAAGTGGTGGTGGTGATGTTCAAGTGAAGTGGCAGTGATATACCTTATTTACCTAATGGCCACCCATACCCTAACTACAGATGGTCAGGCCGAGGGAAGAAAGCCAGTGACGTGTGCAGGATCCATCCATTGCCTTTGATAGCCTTGTCAAGGTCTATTCTGACGTCCTGTACTGTTCCCAATTCCACAGCTTGATCGAGTAGACTGTTCCATAGGTCTACTACCCTCTGTATGATGATGTATTTTCTTATATTTGTTCTGCATGATACTTTTGCGAACTTGAAGTTGTTCCTTCGTGTTGGTGGTGCATGACTTCACGAAAAAATGGCCCGGGTTGACGCTTTTCATTCCTTTCAAAAATTGAATATATCGATGAGATTTGCCCTACTGTGTTGTGTGAAGGGTGGATAATCGAGGTGACGTAGTTCCGGCATCATCTCAATCGCTCTGTGTTGCACTTTTTTTTTTTTAGGGATGTTAAGTGTTTCTAAAACAAAGATTTCCAAGCCTACATACAGTAGTCCAGATGAGGCCCTACGAGACACTTATAAAGTTGAAGGTACATCTTTTGGTCTTTGTATTAGAAGGTGTACTTTATAATTCACAAATCTCGGTTGGTTTCCCCACTGCTGGGGCGCCCCCACTTGTCGGGCCGCCTTTTTGCATGGTTGCGACGTCGTCCTGATTTGCCATCTCACTTCGTGTCGTCTACAAACTTGATATTGTGGCTCGAAATATATATATTTTTTCACTGAAAACCTTTTTCCCATTCTGAATGAAAGCCGTTTATGACCACTCTTTGTCGCCAGCCTTCGAGCCTTTTGCGAGGCCACTTCAATATTTGTTTTGCCTGTGATGCCATGTTCCTGGATATAAGAGACTAGCCAGCCGTTCATGTGGCCCTTTGTTAAAAGCCTTGGAAAAACCCATTGGTAAACCCCATGATCTACGTAGTTTGTTTGGATGGCTGTGTGTATGTATGTGTATTTACTTCGCCATGATACTATAATGTTAGAATCACAGCTGACTGTTTGTGTGTTATGGTTGTTGGTGTTGTTAATATTGATTTTATTGTTTGTCCTCCCCAGATAATTTGGAAGTGGTAAAACTTCAGGTTGGTTAACAAATTGAAGGGCAGCTCTTCAGGTGTGGACTTTGGGGGGGGGGGGGGTAATCTTCACGTGATACATAAAGGCTAAAATTGCAAATGGTCTCGTTGTGGTCTCGTCTATATAGTATACATCACTTGTTATTATTGTTATTATCGTTGCCGTGACAATGGCAAGGTGAACATTAACAATATGGAGCGTTAGTTGTTTGTCTTGAGTACAGTTCTATACATACACGTAAATCCACACTAAATAATATTCATCTGACTGACGAGTAAAATTTATAAAACAATCGACATATCAAACAATTATAAAAAGAAAAAAATACAAAATACAGGTACAGGTATAATATAAAAACAAGTCTTGCCAACCAAATTAATTTACGTCTTAGGAAGCACTTCACCAAGCTAACTCTGGAAAGTTTCAAAAGGAGGCTAGATAGATTCATGGATGATAGAGAGTGGTAGTAACTCTCGACAGGAGCTGCCATGCACAGGCCAACCGGCCTATTGCAGACTCCTTATTTTCTTGTGTTCTTATGTTCTTAAATGTAAGATCGATATTAATATTTTTTTTCTGGGGGACACACACACACACACACACACACACTCTTACTTATACATAATTAAAAAATGCTTCTTAAAATCGTAATAAATATGGAGAGAAGGAATGAAACAGGGAAAAAAAACCGACAACACCAGATAGGCTGGGATGGTTTGACGGGTCATGCTTGAGGACTAGAAGGTCAGCCAGCTCAAGGTTACTTATTTACCCTTGAGTTTTTTTGTTCGACGGAGACAATTACGAAATGTTGAAGGTAAGGGAACTCTTCTTTTCTTCTGAGGGGATTTGTAATGACATTGTGTTTATGTAACTATTATTAATATTTTTATCATTGTTGTTGTTTGTAAACCTCGTTAACTTACATTAAAACAAGACACTTAAAATATAAACAACGTTCAAACACCTGGCTCTCACACCTGTTTACCTTGCCGGTGTAAACATAGACTCCAGTTTATCACACGATCTCACCTGACCCAAATAAACCTCGACGGGTTTCGTGGTTGGTGAAAGCATTAACAAACCCTTTAGTTTTCTTATTTTCCCATCGGCATATTTCACCTGTTGATTAATCACCCTAATTCTTTCTACTGTGGTTAGATTAGGTTGGATAAGAATAGGTTTGGTGAAGTTCGATTGAGTGAGATTAGATTAGGTTGGCGTCAGGGTGTTTGATCTCCAGGTGAAATATGCTGGGGGGCTGATCTTCAGTTGATCCTATTTTACTGTACATAAGCAAACATATATTCTTAAAAAAAATATTATCCGTGTTTACAGATGACATAATGCGTTCTGTCATCCATCTAGCCTCTCAAAACCCAAACAAAAAACGCATGTGAAAAAAAAAATCAAACAACTTTACTGATTTCTTACAGACAAAGCATGGCACCGAACGTGTGGAGGACGGTGGCGTGTGTAGTGGTATTGGTGGGCGTGTGGGGAGGCGTGGCTGAGTCCAATGAAAGACGCGCCAGGCAAAGTAAGTTACTTTTAGTTTCTCAACAATTGTTTACGTCTGACTTTGGGTGTCTGTTTGCACCCGTTTATAACTCGATTTACATGTATATAGCGGACTACACTTATCTTCATCTGTATGTCGATGACTTAACCCCTTGAGTGCGATGATTTAACCCCTTGAGTGCGATGATTTAACCGGGATCGTACCTAAGTGGTTAATTTAATTCAATGGGCTAATTCACTGGCATCATACTCTAGGGGTTAAGTAATAATTATTCCAAAATTTCAATAGTTTTCTCATTTGTTTAAGACTTGTATTATAATTAGGAAGAGGTCGTAACCTCCCTCTGTGACGTATGTTTGTGTTTGCGTGTGAGGCTTGTCCTATGACCTTCCCCTACAGGTCCCCAGCCGTTACCAACACCTCTTCCCTCCCTGACCAGATATCCCTCCTCCTAGTCACTGGCCTGGCACTTGACATTATTAGGGACCTGCCACGCTTTGCTATAAACAGATGAAATGTACCGGGAATCCCCCCCCCCACACGCACGCACGCACGCACACACACACACACACACACACACACACACACACACTCTCTCATCATTCTGCCACTTTATGTAACTTGCTGACAAAACCTATGACCCTTCAGGCTAACACGCCCTTAATGCATGAGTCATAAAGGCCAGCATGAACTTGGCATGCTTCCCAGTTGGGCACTGTAAACGCTTCTGCGCTTCACCTTGCACAGGATGTAAGGGGGTGCCCAATAAACTAGCCCCCTCCGGGGCAATCTGTAAATAATCTGTATCTGTGAGGCCAGGGGAATCCCCAGTGTTGTAACCTGAAGTCTCCACCTGCCCTCTAAATCAAGGTGACACTCTCTCAATTAGTATAATCCAATGTGTATTCCTTCTATCTCCCAGGAAAGCTTTGAAAATAAAGAAATGATGGTTACAAATAGAATCCGTTTAGGCTCTCGCTTGGTACTTTTTATGATAACATTCGAGATGTTCAAGTCTTGTGAAAATATTAAAACATTATCCTATAATGACAACAGACGACATAATATTAATTTTTTTAAAAAGATGAAAAAAGTTGACCTGCACTGATAACAAACCTATGTAATTCATATTCATCTAAAAACAATGACTTAAGTAAATTCCAAGATGCAATACTCCACCACTCTAAAATGACCCAAAACATTCCTTTACCTCAGCATCGTTCCCACAAAATGACCCTCGGTGTCCGGCGGGCAACAACTGTATCAACTTACTGGATTGTCCAACATTGGCTCCACTCCTTAACCGCCGTCCACGACCTTCCAGAGAGGACATCAACACATTAAGGCGTGCCCTCTGTGGCTTTACCAACCGACGACAACCACTGGTGAGTTACTGTACCAACAAGGTTACGTTTGAGTAGTTGTAGACGAAGATGTAAAGGCTTATGTGGTCAGATTTGTGACAATAATCGGGACCGGAACAGGTAGGTTAGTGGCGCCATTATACCTGCATGTTATATAGGTGGTGAAGTCCCTCCCCGCGCCACAACAATACGAGGCCATAACTGTTTAACAAGAACATACGGACGAACAGAAGCAAGACATACAGAGGTTAGTTTCTCTGCAGGTGTGACGGTGAATGTTAAGTTGTACTAGAGGTGGTTGGAGTGTGTTGGTCTGGCTCCCTCACCACTGTCAGTTAGGGGGAGGGAGGGGGGGGGGTCATTTTAGAGGTTTTAAGTTGACACGATTCTATTTTGCAACGTTGCGTGTGTGCATAAAAAGATTCCTGAAATTTTGGATATATTTAAGTTGACCTAACACTGATATTTAGGCTCGAAGACACATAATAGACGGTCTTCTTTACTCACTCACTCCGCAGTACAGGAATACATCTGGTTAGTGATTATCAACTGGAGGCTCCTATAAACATTTCAATCGCCTGTAAATTTATTTATGATTAAGAAGTTCTTTGAAACTTACCGTCGTCTGTAGTGTTCCTCTATCTTCTCATCCTAACAGGCGTGTTGCCCAACCGGAATAGGCCTTCCAACCCAACCTACCATTCCACCCACAGTCCCAACCCAACCTACCATTCCACCCACAGTCCCAACCCAACCTACCATTCCACCCACAGTCCCAACCCAACCTACCATTCCACCCACAGTCCCAACCCAACCCACGATCGCGCCTGGTAACGGAGGAGGAGAGGCTTTACTGCCGAGTTCCTGTGGTACAACCAGGTTATTAGATAATATTCGCATCTTCGGCGGGGAGGATGCGATCATCGGAACCTATCCCTGGATGGCTCTCCTCGGCTTCACCTGTAAGTTTACCTGCTCTTACGTTGTGTGTGTGTGAGACTCAAGATGAGAGAGAGAAAACCTAAAACCAACTAAAGACCCCTGGAAGTTATTAAAAAAATAGACTCGCGGGACTGCTAATATGACACCATTGTTGTTGTTGTTTCTTCCAGCAAGGTCCCAGCCTCAGGTAGTGTTCGGTTGTGGTGGAGCGCTCATTAACGACCGCTATGTGTTGACCGCCGGCCACTGTACCTCCCCCGAATTTACCTTCAACCGTGAGCTGTGAGTAGTCGTACCTCTTGACCTCAGTAATTGACCTGTGATATTTTTTCTTTTATTTATTTTCCGTTTCTCATTTTATGCATTTTCCTGTCCTACCTTGTATTATCCTGTCAAAATATATTTATCCCAAGAAGTGTCTGGAATAGTAGAGGGGTGAGGAAGTGAGGAGGGAGTCTGGAGCGAGTCTGGAGCGAGGTAGGGTGAATGTTGAAGTGAGGGAAGAGCAAGGTAGGAGTTAGACAGGAATTAGGCAGTAGTGAGACAGGAGTGAGGTGTTCAGGCGTCGTCTTCCTGAACAAAAACTCGCCTGTCCAGTCTTACCTAAACTTCATGACTCGAGTATAACTCAAATCTTGTGTGTGTGGATCGAGGGTTTGACTCCTTAACCCCTTGATTACTAAGAAACGTAACTCTTGAGTACTAGAAACCGAACCCCTTGAATACTAGAAACCTCTAACCCCTTGAGTACTAGAAACCGAACCCATTTATTACTAAGAAAACGTAACCCTATGAGGACTAGAAACCTTACCCCTTGAGTGCTAGAAATCTAACCCTTACGTACTAGAAACCTAACCCCTTGAATCATAGAAACCTAACCCTTGAATACTAGAAACCTGACCCCTTGAGTACTAGAAACCTAACCCATTTATTACTAAAAAAACGTAAACCCTTGCGTACTAGAAACCTAACCCCTTACGTACTAGAAACCTAAGCCATTTATTTGAAATTCAACACCAGCAAGTGCAGCGTAATTAATATTGGAAGAACAAATACTAATAATGTATACAGCCTTAACAACATCAACCTAGAGAAGTCGACTTGTGAAAGAGACCTAGGGGTACTTGTAAGCCCGGACCTACGGCCTAGAAAACAGTGCGTTAATGTTCGAAATAAGGCAAACAAAGTATTGGGTTTTATATCTAGAAGTGTAAGTAACGAGTGCAGAGGTCTTATTGCAACTATATCTTGCGCTAGTCAGGTCGCACCTCGATTATGCGGTTCAGTTCTGGTGCCCCTATTATAGAATGGATATAAATTCACTAGAGTCGGTGCAGCGAAGAATGACAAAAATGATTCCTGGACATAGAAACCTTCCATATCAGGATAGGTTAAAGAAACTTAACTTGCATTCCCTAGAAAGACGAAGGTTGCGGGGAGATATGATATAAGTATTTAAGTGGGTGAAAGGAATCAATAAAGGGGATATAGATAAAGTTCTTATAATATCCGAGCAGGATAGGACTCGGAGCAACGGATTCAAGTTGGATAAGTTTAGGTTTAGGAGGGAGATAGGAAGAAACTGGTTCACAAATACGGTGGTGGACGAGTGGAACAAGCTTAGCAACTTTGTAGTAAGTGCGGGAACTCTGGAAAGTTTCAAAAGGAGGCTAGATAGATTCATGGATGAAAGAGAGTGGTAGTAACTCTCGACAGGAGCTGCCATGCGCAGGCCAACCGGCCTATTGCAGACTCGTATGTTCTTATTACTAAGAAACCTAACCCCTTGAGTACTAGAAACCTAACCCCTTACGTAGTAGAAACCTAACCCCTTGAATACTAGAAACCTAAGCCATTTATTACTAAGAAACCTAACCCCTTGAGTACTAAAAAACCAACACCTCTTACCATGACTCTTTAACACCACCTTCTCTCTCCCTGCGTAGGACGATGATAAGATTAGGTGAACACGACCTGTCAACAGAAGGCGACTGTCAGACCTTACCCTCGGGAGTAGTTTGTGCCCCTGTCCATCAGACCTTCTCACCTGCTGAAATCATTCCTCACCCAACCTTCAACAGGCGCGGCACGATTGGGGATGACTTAGCTCTCATCAGACTGGATAGGCCAGCCATCTTCAACAGTAAGATAGATTATTATTTTATTTTAGTTATTTTGTTATATTTTATGATTATTGGTGTTGGTTTATTTTGTTGTTTCTTGATTTATAATTTTATTCTTTCACTCACTCGTACATTAAGTCACTCCGTCATTCATACACCAAGTCACTTCATTCACTCATACACTAAGTGACTGCACTCACGCACTCACTCATACACTAAGTCACTGCACTCACTCAGTGACATATAATCATTGAATTGGTTTTCCTCTCAAAGACACGTTATTACGCATTCGTCCCGTACAAACCACTGTAGTATACTTCTCACAACCACAGATCAGTCACATTCTATCTCCATCATTACAGACTTTGTGAGACCGGTGTGTCTGCCATCTGCCAACCACGACACCGAGACCTTCCTCGGAGGGCGGTTTGCGACGGTCTCAGGCTGGGGAGTTACTGAGAGAGGCCCGGACACCCAAATACTGCAGAAGGTGTTATTGCCGTTTGTGAACCAAGACGAGTGCAACCCTCACTTTAACAACGGCCTTCTACAAGAACAGGTGAGGAGAGTTCATTAATTAATTAGATATGGTCAGGCGAGTTAATTAGGCATCGTCAGGTAAGGAGTTTGTTAATTAGGTATGGTAAGGTAAGGACACACACACACACACACACACACACACACACACACACACACCTACACACACACAGAGTAGAGGATCCGTCCGTAACGAGAATCACTGCTGTAACTGCCCAGTCTCCCTGCAATCTTCACTATCCTCATCATTATTACAGGTCTAGTGGTCACAGAGAGAGAATTGCTACTAACGGAGACCACACGTGCTGGACCAACATACTAAGGCAGAACAAGAAGAACAACACCAATACAAAAAATACTAAAAAAAATAATAATAATAATAATAATTCATATCTTCTCGGCAGATCTGTTTTGGTGGTGATGGTCCACGCGACTCCTGTTTTGGTGACTCAGGCGGACCAATAGTCGGCACGACTGCCAACAGCCCTATCTCTGTCCTGGTACGTGTGACTGTTTCCTTGAGTACAATGCTAACCTTCCCCTCCTGAGTACAATGCTAACCTCCCACCCTTGCGTATGATGTTATCCTCTCCCTCTGTCAGTTGGTTGAAAATGTTCAAAGGAGGGCCACCAGACTGGTGCCTGCACTTCGGCACCTCAGCTACCCTGAGAGATTGGAGCGCCTGAACTTGCCTAACTTATACTACAGACTGGCAAGGGGGGACCTAGTTGAGGTGTATAAGCATGTCGGGGGGGCACTACTCAGTTGAGTGTCCTTACTTGGAGCTGGTGGACGCTCGCCCCACAAGGGGTCACAGCTCAAGATTGAAGAAGCCGCAGGTCCAAAAAACAGTGAGGGCAAACTTTTTTGGAGTGAGTTGTAAACTCTTGGAACAATCTACCAGAAAGTGTTGTGACGGCACCGAGTGTGAGCTCTTTCAAGACAAGACTTGACCAACACAGGAGCGGGTTCAGGTACTTTCAGGAGCCGGTGCATGCCCAGTATTTGCCAACAGTGCGTGACAGAGACGTGACCGATCGCCCAAGTGGCTAACAAGCCGATCAGTGGCGAAGAGGATAAAAAAAAATGTAAAGCATTATGCTATCTTCCCTTTTGAGTACAATCCTAACTCCTTTTTTTAGTACAATGTTAACCTACCCTTCCTGAGTACAATGCTAACCTCCCCGAGTACAAATATGAACTATATAACCTCTCACTCTTGACTACAATGCTAGCCTCTCCACCCTTGAATACAATGCTAACGATGAATTTGCCCAATGATAAATGTGTCGTAAGCTCTTGAGTACTTTGTATTAATCCCTTGAGCACACTGATGTAATCCTTTCGGGTACGATGTCTTAACCCTTTAGATACGAGGACCTAATGCCCCTGAGTATGACGACGCTGTACTCAGGAAGTTAAGCCATCGTATTCTCTCCCTGACCCCTCCACTCACTCTATCCCTGACCCCTCCACACACACACACACACACACACTCTCCCTGATCCCCCACTCTCTCCCTGATCTCCCACATACTCTGCCTGACCCCCACATACTCTCCCTGACCCCCCCACATACTCTCCCTGACCCCCATACTCTCTCTCTCTCTTGCAGCTGGGGATGGTCTCGTTCGGGCAGCCCTCGTGTGGGGTGGCCGGAGTGCCGGCCGTCTATACCAACGTGGCTTCTTATAGGCCATGGATTCTGAGCAACCTAAAGCCTTAACGACCTCTTAACAACAAGACTGCAGCGCCATCACGAGCACTCGCCAACTCCACCACGAGCACTCGCCAGCACCACCACGAGCGCTCATCGGCACCACCATGAGTATTCCCCATCGCCGTCATGAGCACTAATCAGCACCACCACGAACACTAACCAGCGCCACCACGAGCACTCACCAGCCCCAGCAGAAGCCTCTATCGGCGACTGGAATTTTCTTTCACCCGGTAATAAACATATCTATGGGAGTACCTACGCCAGACGAACGGACTCCAGCATAATATAAGAGCTCTCTTTCTACGTATAAAAGAACGTCGACAAAGGAAGTCGCACTTCACCTTGGGTAACAAAACAAGAAGGTGTCAATCACTCCAGCGAGAACGTGGAGGTGTAAATAATAACAGGTGTAAACAATGAAACGTTCTTATAACAGGTGTAAACAAAGAAAATGTTTTTATAACTGGTGTAAACAGTGAAAACGTTCTTATAACAGGTGTAAACAATGGAAACGTTTTTATAACAGGTGTAAACAATGACAGCATTTGTATATAAAACATATGATGTTTTTACGATATGTCCCCTCTCTCTCTCTCTCCAGTTTTATTTAATTGCAGTAAAAATATTTTATTTAGTTTTGTTTACTCAACCATTCCTGATCTGACCGGTGGAAACTGTGTGTGGGTGGAAGTGGAAATATCTTTGGAACTCGCCTGAATTTTTGCACCACTTTAACATAACCACTAATACGAATGCTTTAACACGACTACTTTAACATGACCACGAACACTTAAACCCGACCACTTTTCTACTTCAACTAATGGCCAAACACTCCATGGGTACAGGTAGTATAATGAATTAGTGATCACCAAAGACTCGTTAAATATTCTAGTAACTCCACACTCAAATCACAGTAGGATATTCTTAGCTGCTGTATCACAAGTCGCTCACACTGAAAGAACTTTGGGGGGAGGAGGCGTTGTGCACTACTGGTTGAGTTTGTAGATCTTGATGCTGTGTTCTACATGGAGGGGGGGTTCTATTGGGACGAAGGAAGGAATTCGGATCAGATGATGATTAAGCCATCCCGCACCCCCCCCCCTCTACTCGTCTTATCTCCCCAAGGTAGTGTGAAGGTGTGTAATAATCATCTGGTGAAATAAGCTGGGATGCCTAGTCTTCAAGTGATGCGAGAATTTTTATTATGTTAGGTATTAATATGTAAAACTGCTATGATGCTTTTTTTAATATATAGTTAATAAAATGGTGTAACGTGACAAAGAGAACAGGTGGGTAAGGTAAGGCCTTGAGGGACGCCGCTCTCCGGTTGTTAATCTTACGTATGTCTGATGGTTTCGTTTCCTCAATAAATGATTACTACCGTTCTTGAGAGTTGTTCTTTGTGATACCTTTACCTATATCCCGGCCTTGAAGATATGATGCAAGTGTTATTTTATTCTCTAATAGCTTGTCATATATGACCTGTGTATAGTTAAGATTGATGGTAAATTTACATATAATCTTTTCACTCGGCATAAAAGTTTCACTGCAATTTTAACGATACTTTATTCTCTTTCTTTTAAATTCAATAATAAAGCCGAACCATTATATAATGTTCCTAAATGTTTATCGTCAAAATTAACTATAATCAAAAAGATATTTACACGGAATTTAGCATTGATATAGTGCATCTCGCTATATATAAACTTAACGATAAAATCAGTCAAATAGCATTCAACCAATTTTCTTCTAAAAGATAAGACAACGGACTTATTTAAAAAAAATTCTAACAGGCTTTAATAAAAAGATTTATGTTAACATTTAATTAACTTTACGTGGTTCCATTTTAAAGCCTTTGAAGCCACATATTCAAAAATCAAAGAACCAATCACTGACGAGTAATTACATAAGGAAAATCTCAAACACACAGAGGAGCTAGGCAAGACCTTAGAGCCAGCCAGGCGAGGGTACAGGGAGAGGATATTTTTTGAAGAGTCCAAGTGGTGTAAAATTAAATTAAAGGGAGGGGACTTACTTATCGTCGGGTGTATCTACAGATCCCAAACTGTGGCCCACTAAACCAAAGGAACTTAAGAGCCTTAATATACAACGCGGCGATGCTCAACCCTAGCCGCCTCCTTATCATGGGGGACTTTAACTATGGCAACATCGACTGGAAAACGAGTTCACCCTAAACGACTTGAATAACCTCGCTACTCTTTTTGTGGAAACTCTGAGAGATAATTTTCTGTTCCAACATGTTAGAGACCCGACACATTACAGAGGGGAGCAAACACCCAAGCCACTAGACCTCATCATAACAAACGAGGAGGGTATGATGGCCAAACTGAAACACCTTGCCCCAGTTGGCACCAGTCACCATACAGTGTTGTCATTCAGATTTAACTGTTAATTAGTTCAAGATAAGGCCAGGCCAAGGTGCAAATATTACAAGGGAAATTACAACGGGATGAGGGGTATCCACTGGCCTGACTCATTAAGGCAGACACTACGCTGAATATCATAACTAGTAAAGTGACCCATTTGATCGATAAATATACTGTATACCCAAGACCAAACCCAGTGCCTCTAGGAATACGAGAGGATCCCTACACATGAACCATGCGGTGGTCGACAATGTTAAGAAGAAAACCCAGAAATTCAAGATGTGGGTTGGGTCAAATGATGAGCAGGACAGGAGGATGTATGCAAGAGTCAGAAACCAAGCAAAGATAGAATGTAGAAGGGCTGAAAAGGAGTTCCAAAGGCTGGTTGCAAGCGAGGTCAGGTCAAACCCAAAGGCGTTTTACCGCTATGCAAATTCGAAATTAAAAACGCGAGTAGGAGTATCAGACCTGAGGCTTGAAGATGGTAGTTACGCAGACTCTGACCAGGATAAAGATGAGGCATTGAACAGCTTCTTTTCCTCGGTGTTCACAAGAGAGGGTGCGATTAACCTTCCTGCGCTTGAGGACAGACGGTTTGACACAGCACTGACCCACATTGGGTTCATAGAAGAGGGTATTAGAAATACATTGTCAAAGCTAAAGGTTCATAAGAGTCCCGGCCCTGACATGGCGCACCCCAGAGTGCTAAGAGAGTTGTGCAATGCAACGAGCTTGCCGAGCCCCTGAAGATCCTGTTTTGTAAATGCCTGGTTGAACAAAAGGTCCCCAGTGATTGGAAAGTGGCTTATGTGAGTCCTATCTTCAAGAAAGGCGATCGTCACTCCACGAACAACTATAGACCGCTCAGCCTGACCAGCATAATATGTAAAGTACTTGAGAGTATTATCAGAGATGCCGCGGTGGAACATCTACTACGAAACAACCTTGTAAAGGATTGCCAACACGGTTTTATGCCGGGGCGCTCCTGCTTAACACAATTGCTCAAGGTATTGGATATTTGGACCCATATTCTGGAACGGGGTGGTAATATCGACAATATTTACCTAGATTTTGCCAAGCCTTTCGAGAGTGTATCCCCACAAAAGGCTGAAAATCAAACTGGAAGGGTACGGAATTCGGGGAAATGTCCTAGCGTGGATAGAAGACTTTCTACATGACCACAAGCAGTGTATAGTGATTAATGGCACGAAATCATCATCTGTACCTCTCACAAGCGGGGTACCACAGGGCAGTGTATTGGGCCCCGCTGTTGTTTGTTTGTTTCATAAATGACATGCCTGACGTTGTACACTCCTCCATACAAATGTTTGCCGATGACGCCAAGTTATTTCGGGAAATCAAGAACCAAGCGGACTGTGAAGAGCTGCAGAAGGATCTCTGTGAGCTCCAAGAATGGTCGAAGAAATGGTTGCTGAGATTCAATGTCACAAAGTGTAAGAGGATGCACCTGGGGCGTACCAACGGTAAGGAGGCGTACCATATGTCCCAACGGGATGATGCAACTGCACTATTTGAGACTGAATGTGAGAAGCACCTAGGTGTGTATGTTGATAATGAGCTGAAGTTCTCGGGCCATTGTGAGAAGAAGGTAAATCAGACAAATGAATTATCGGGTCTTATAAGAAGGTCGTTCAGATATCTACGAGGGACGGTCCGTCCCTCGTAACGATCTTCAAGTGTGAAGTGCTTCCCCATCTGTAGTCTGTCACCCCGTCTGGTCCCCGAGATATGCTAGGGACTGTCAGTTGGTTGAAAATGTTCAAAGGAGGGCCACCAGACTGGTGCCTGCACTTCGGCACCTCGGCTACCCTGAGAGATGGAGCGCCTGAACTTGCCTAGCTTATACTACAGACGGGCAAGGGGCGACCTAATTGAGGTGTATAAGCATCTCAAGGGGCACTACTCAGTCGAGTGTCCTTACTTGGAGCTGGCGGACGCTCGCCCCACAAGGGGTCACAGCTCAAGATTGAAGAAGCCGCAGGTCCAAAAAACAGTGAGGGCAAACTTTTTCGGAGTGTTGGAACAATCTCCCAGAAAGTGCTGTGACGACACCGAGTGTGAGCTGTTTCAAGACCAGACTTGACCAACACTGGAGCAGGTTCAGGTACATTCAGGAGCCGGTGCATGCCCAGTACTTGCCAACAGTGCGTAACAGAGACTTAACCGATCGCCCAAGAGGCTAACGAGCCGATCAATTGGTGAAGAGGATAAAAGAAAAAGAAAAGTAACAGAGACGTGACCGATCGCCCAAGAGGCTAACGAGCCATAACCTTGAAACAACCAGCCAATCACAGAGAAGTAATGACGTAAAAAATGTTACCAAAATGAAGCAACCAGACACAGACGAGTAAAGACGTCATAAATGAAAAATCCAACAGCCAACTAACAGAGGACGTAACTGGACTTTTACTTTTTATTTCTATCCCTAACCAAAGTTAGTGACGGATAAACAAACAATTGACATCAGCTAACATCACATTTGTTATAAAATGACACCACTAACTCACGAAGTGGCTCAAGAGATAAATAACTAACAGATGACGATACTAGAGGTACGGAAGTAAGATCATTAGTGAATAACGCGGAAAGGAAAAACACAAATTAAGAACATTGACGTCACTAACAGCACGAGGAAGCCAGAGTTGGATTGGCTGACCGTCATCAAAGAACCTCCCCGGGTTTTCCCACCATTCAGTATTGCCAACTCATGGAACAACTCGCTTAAATGTAGGAAGTTTCTAGATTCCTTTAGCAACATGCAACAGTGAGTTTTTTTAAGTGTAGTTTGTGCTGTTAAAACGAATTTCTTGTTGATTTTTTGAGTTTTTTCTTTACCAGTTACTTTAGGTATTTTTACCAGTTACTTTAGCTAGTTTCACCAGTTACTACAGTTAGTTTCATCAGTTACTTTAGACTACTTTCTCCAGTTACCTCAACAAGTTTCACCATTTTCACGTGTGTAGATGTGAGAGCAGGCAACATTTTCTCTCTCTCAGTGGTGAATAAAAACAGAGGAGTCGACCATTATAATCATCTACTTCCTGGAAACTTTCATACACAAGGAAATTATATTCTATTACGATCTGGAGGTTAACTTTTGTCAAGGCATAAATAGTCTCACAAACCTCCACAATTATTCTCTTTTACCTCATAAGTTACTTGATGATATTTGATGCAGCCTAGCCTAACCTAACCTAACCAAATATAATCTAAGCTAACCTAACCTAACCTAACCTTACCTAAGCTAATTTTTGTCAAGGTGTCCAGTATCTCAAACACCTAAACGATACCTTAAATTTAACCTAATCCTACCTAATATAACCTAACTTAATCTAATCTAATCTATGCCAACTTATCTAGCTTAGTTCATTATAACCTAACCTATCTGAAACTAATCTAATCTAATCTAATGTAACCTAATCTAGTTTAATCTAACCCAACCTAACTTCACAGGTAGCGTTCGGTTGGTTAGTCATCTGGTAAGCTAAACTAAGGGTGTTTAATCTTCAGGTGACCTAGAAATTAAACCTTTATTACTACCCACAGCCTCAAGAGTCTAACAAGTTTATACATTAACTTCTCGTAACTGTAGGTTTAACATAACACGTCTAGTTGGGTTAGGTTAGGTTAATCTAAGTTTGGTTTGGTCATTTTTGGATAAGTTAGGTTGGGTTAAGTAAGGTTTGGTTAGGTTAGGTTAGGTTAATCTAAGTTTGGTTTGGTCATTTTTGGATAAGTTAGGTTGGGTTAAGTAAGGTTTGGTTAGGTTAGAGTTCTGGTGGTTAATCTTCAAGTGAAATTAACTAAGGTTCTTAATCTTCAGATGATGCGAAAACTGTACACAGGAACCTTTGAGAAACAATGACCAGAGGCTTTTTATTTATGATGTAATAGATCAATATAACAATGGAGCGGAAAAAAATAAGAAAAAAACGAATTTGTCTTTGAATTTTGAACTAGAGAGCAAATTTCTGAGA